CAAAGCCCAGTCCTGCCAAGGCCACAGCCCAGTACTGGGCCACGGACTCAGGGTTGGGAATCCCTGTGCTAAAAGATAAAGGGGAGGATGGAGATGGTACTCCTGCACAACACCTGAGGCTTTGGCAACAGTTCTCAAGGTTTGCTCTATGCACTTGATCTTAGCCAAAAGACTGAGAGAATAATGGGTTTTTTTTCCTTGACACCCAGGGTCTAGGGGTCTTTAGAGCCAAAGTGTTATGGGAGGGGGTAATCTTGAAATGATCTGTGCTGTTTCCCAGGCCATCTTCCATGCAATTTCCCAGGTCACCATTTTCACAGTACCTTGATTTTGAGGACCCCTTAAAGCCAGTGATCTGAAGGATCGGTTCTACTGAACTGTCTGTTTTACAGCACCCAGGGAAGTATGAACCATCTTGGAGGAAGGAGTGAGCAGCATATTTATTGCCCCCAGTGCTCTGCCATTTGAGATGAGTGCTTCACCAAGCCTCAGAATGGGGCCATGGCCAGAATCATCCTGGAGCTAAAAAAGGAGCACTAGTAGAAAGAGCACATTCATGCTCAAGAGGACAGCCAAACCTACTCCAGCCTTGCAGGGAAATTATGTTGCTGCCAAGCTAAGGGGATGCGTTTGTGGCAGCTTCCAAGAGCAGCACAGCCCATCTGGAGGCAGTAGGGAAGCAATGAATTTGTGCTCAAGAAGAGAGCAAATCTGCTTCAACTTTGGCATGAAATTGTATTGTCCTCGTGTTAAGGAACTGAAACCTCTCAAACCATGTATTGTATATTTGTCTTGATGTTAAATGGAAGCATAAACATGACATCAGCCATCAACCCAAATTTGTTCCTTACTCATTGGAGATTGCAGAGTCTACTGCGGTGTGATTTCTGTTATAATAAATAGTAGAATTGATATAGAAGAAAAGTTGAGATTTTTGGGTGGCTAGTATGGAACTCTGTCCTTTGAGTAAAAACTAAAGTAGATAAATTCTTCACACAGAACTATACTGTGAACTGAATGACCTAGCATGCCAGTCAAAGTCCAGCTTGTGCTGTGCAGATTCTTGCTCTTCTCTTACGGATCAGAGAGTAATGTGGGTGACAGGTGCCCTGCAAAAGGCATACTCAGAAATCCTCTAACACGTTTAAATCTAAAGAAACTAGATATTGAAACTAAGACGATGTTCAGTATTCTCATTATAAGGCCCAACAATTCAGCTCTTTCTTCCACTTAGTTCTCATTTCATTGACATCCACTTTAGCACTTCTGAACAAATGTTTTTAAACTACCGTAGCTGGTTTCAGTTTCTCTGAAGATGCAGTTAGTACAGTACTTTCAACACAGTGGGACTAGCCAAAGGGCTCAAAGTTTATGGCCCATATCAAAGAGGTGTTCTAATTATAAATCTTGTCTTACAGCACCAGAAGGAAAATGTAGATACTGATTTGTCCAATTGTTTTGAGAGAAATATGCCCATTCTCAATTTTTTTTGTATTTAGGATCAATGTGTGCATTCTGTTAATGTTTATGTAACTGTATTGGTTCAAATACAGTGGGACCCTTATCTGTGGGATCAGTATCCACTGATTCACTTATCCACGGTCTAGAAATATTACAAATATTAAAATACAAATCCATAATTTTTTTAAAAATGAAGTTACCAGAACTGGCCTATGGAGGAGGCAAGGATGATGCTATGTATAGCCACCTAGAGTGGTCACAATGACCAGATAGGCAGGGTATAAATAAAATAAATAAATAAATTTGCTGGAGAAATTGATTTCTACAATGTTATTATCAGAACTGGCCACTAGATGGACCCAGACACCATGCTCAGCTACACACAGTGTTTGCTATTAAAATAGTGTTCTGCATTTTTCAGCATTCATGGGTGGGGACTGGAACTGTAGATGCAAAAGTAGATGCAAAAGTACCAAAGAATACCCAATGGAGTAAATCCTTTCCTAGAAGTGAGCTTTGAAATGGGTGATTGGAATCAGTGGAGTCAGTACAGTCAATGGAGGCTGGATTGGTTAACTCATTTTTGAGCTACCATATAGAGCCTGTCCACAATGAGCATTTATTCACCTTTCCTTGCACTCACAATACAGGTGCTGTATCCCAGTGCCCATAGACTGCATGGCTGAAAATCATGTCAGAGGGTTGAAGTGGGATGAAAAGCTTGCCTTCTGGGTTGGTTGGTTTGATTTGGGTTTTTTGTTTGTTTGTTTGTTTTTTGCACCACTGTCAGACTATGGTATTAATTAGTTTAGATTTGCTCCAGTTTGCTCCAATGAAGGCTCTTTCTTGTATGGATCCTAATACTGCATGGCCCTCTGCTGATCCATACCCTTTGTGGGTGGGTGTCATTTCATGGCATTTTCTTATGGCTGCTTTTCTCCAGCTCCATCTGCACCTTTCGACTCCTTGAGGATGGGTAAAACAAGGAGGAAGAGAGGACAGAGTGAGATAGGCAGAAAGAGGGCAGGGAATTCAGACAAAGAGGAGGGCAATCTGTGGTGGGAGTTAGAGCAGTTCTGGATGTGTGTGAGTAAACAATGCCGGAATATCCCAGGACATCCAGCAACCAACACTCTCCTCATGTTATGGACACCATTATGGGGATGATGATTCAAATCTACAATAAAAATTCCAGAATGACCCTGAAGAAACCCAGAATGCCTGGAGGCAGCATCCCTGTGTGGAAGAGCCCATTTTTAGCAAATCATTTGCATAGTAGGCAAGCAGGCTGCTCAGACTGGGGGACTAGGACATGAGAAAGGATCATATTTTACCAACTATTCAAACAAACAAACAAAAATATTATGGCAGATTTAAGACTAACAAATGTATTTCATTGTGGGGTTTTGTGTATATGATCTCTGTATGTCTAAAGAAGTAGATTTTACCCACAAATGGCTACAGTGTCATTAATGTACATTAGCCTTAAAGATGCCACAATATTTTTGCTTTCTTTTCCTTTTCCTTGTTCCTGAGGGAGACTAACATGGCTACCTCCCTGAAAATGCCTAACATTTCAATATGTAATATATTTCCGTCTTTTCCACTGAAGGAATCACTTACCTTGACCATGCAGGAACGGCACTCTTCCCACAGAGTTTACTGAAAACCTTCACTGAGGACCTCTGTGAAAATGTTTATGGTAAGTGAATCCAGTGTTGTTGACCTTTTTCTGCCTCTTATTTTGCAATGATAGAAGTTCTAAAGGAAGTTGATTGAGGATGCCTTCCTTTGTCTCCTTTTTAAACAGCAAACATGTTTAGTATTGAATAGAAGCTAAGGGACAATCTTGGCTACTCTCAACAACTGAGCATTGCATTAGATGGAGTTTTCATTTCTTCATTCCCACTGGAAATTGTTGAAGTGTCAAGTGGATACATGGTTGCAGTAACATGCTCAGGGAGTGCTTATCAATGGCTCCTTCTCAAACTGGGAGGAAGTAATGAGTACCAAAAGGATCAGTCCTGGGTCTGGTACTCTTCAACATTTTCCTTAATGACTTGGATGAGGAAATTCAGGGAATATTTATCGAATTCTCAGATTATTCTAAATTGGGCGGAATGAGTACCACAATTTTCTGTGTATAAGATACCCCATGTATAAGACCCCCCCACTTTTCTAACCCCAAATTAAGAATTCTAAGTGGGGCTTACCAAGTGGAGGGGGAAAGGGATCAAAATGCTGCAGGATCGCTTTGATCCCTGCTTTCTCCTTTCGTGCTAAGCCCTGTGGGGCTTAGCAAAAGGAGGGGGAAAGGGATCAAAACAATCCCACAGCTGCGCAGTTGCTTTGATCCCTTTCCCCCTTGTGCAGCCACAGGATCGCTTTGATCCCTTTCCCCCTCCCTATGCTAACCCCCTTGGGGCTTAGCAAGTGGAGGGGGAAGCAGAAGGAAAGGGACCAAAGCAATCTTGTATTTCTCCCACCACTTGTTTTGGTCTATTTATTTATTTATTTAATCAAAACAATCCCACAGCTGCGCAGTTGCTTTGATCCCTTTCCCCCTTGTGCAGCCACAGGATCGCTTTGATCCCTTTCCCCCTCCCTATGCTAACCCCCTTGGGGCTTAGCAAGTGGAGGGGGAAGCAGAAGGAAAGGGACCAAAGCAATCTTGTATTTCTCCCACCACTTGTTTTGGTCTATTTATTTATTTATTTATTTAACTTATATGCCGCCCACACTACCCGAAGGTCTCTGGGCGGCTTACAGCATTTAAAATACAATAAAAAGGCAAAATAAAAGGGTAAAATAATTAAAATGCAATTAAAAATATAATATAATATTGGCTGTTTTATTTTCAATCCCCTTTTAAATGATACCTAGCATGGAATTGGCCTTCTTCACTGCCACCTCACACTGGGTTGACATTTCCATTGAGCTGTCCACCAGCACACCGAGATCTCTTTCCTGATCTGTCACAGACAGATCAGAAGAACCCATTAGCTGATATGGCTTTGACTCCCTTTGTATTCAGCTATGTAACACGCGCTGCTTATATATATGGCCCCATAGCAGTTAAGGCACTCTCTGGGCAGTTTACAAGTTAATTATGAAGGCTACACATTGCCCCACCCAGTGAGCTGGGTACTCATTTTACTGACCT